TTAACTAAGAGGGTTGGGAATTATATTCAAATTGGCACAGTACAGTTGTAATTGCTGTTGATATCAAAGGATTGTCAGGATTATAATTCAATTTAGTTGTAATTTTTACGTTTTTCACAGTCCTTAATATTATGTAGGTGTAATATTAGCTTATCTGATTAGTAAATTAGTGTAAGAAGTTTAGGAAGTTTAGATTACCTACTCTCTTCATGAAAACCACGCCAAAACCTTACTTTTAAAAAATCCTAATGACAAGTTTATACTATATAGCACAGGGAACTATATTCAATATCTTGTAGTAACCTATAATGAAAAAGAATATGAAAATGAATATATATATATGACTGAATATATTTATGGGCTGTACACCAGAAATTGACACAACATTGTAAACTGACTGTACTTCAATTTTTAAAATACTGCATTATACCTTATACTGATAAAACCAAATAAAACATATATAATTGTTGTTAAGCTAAAATTCTTATATCTGATTTGACTTCAGATTCATCTTGATTACTTGATTTTTTATTTTTTATCAAGGTGCCTCTTATATTTTCTGTCAGGATTTTTGTAAACCAGGCCATTTGAAATATTAGAAGTCCAACTTTTTTATTTTGGGGGGATTCTGGAAATATTACTTACGTAAGGGTTCAAAATCTCTATGAAGCAATTGATTAATTTAACCGATGTTGCATTCTAATTTATTAATGGCCTTCAAGATAAAGAAAATATTTCACTCCCTCCTAATGAGACGTAAATGCCTTTCTTAACTTCAGATACACAAACCTACAGAAAATTGCAGCTTCAGTTCTACAAACTCACAGGTCATGAACAGACATAGAAATACAAAAATTCACTGGTCCAGACCTCAAAGAGCTTTTCTAAGAAACACAAAATATTTTTTTTCAGTGGTTTTGAGCTCACAAATAACCAAACACACAAACAGAAAAGACCAACCAACTGCACAACCAACTGCATTGTCTGTTTCTCGCCAACAAAGACTAGATCCTATCATCCCAGTAGAAATGGCCAGATGATCAGACCACACAACTGGAATGCCAGTCATTGCAGTCACCAGTGACTGAAACGAACCAGTCATGCATAAGTCAGAATGAGAGCTGAAGTTGGTCAAAGACCAGAAATAAAAAGAAAACACAGAGTTAGGTTAAAGAGAGAGAGAGTGTCAGGGAAGATGAAGCACTTATGAACACTTAGGATCCGTCCCAGAAGCCAAAATAGCATACTAGCCTGAACCAGCCCATGTGGTGCACTTCCCTGCAGCACAGATGAATTGGCCCTGCTGGGTTAGTCCACTTGGCAGTCTCATTGAACCCTCCAAAACTGACAATTAGAATTATTCCAATTTTAAAAAAGTTAAAAATATACAAATATAGGATGAATATGTTTCAGAGATTTACTGACTAATCAGTAAGAAAACCAGTAAGATAGTAAAGATAGCTAACATTGCATTTTGAGCAACAGAGGTTATATAATTTACCCCCCAAAAAACATTCTTAAATAACAGTGGTCATTATGATGTGGTAAACTGCAAAAAGATGCCAACTCTCTAAGCCCCTGAACCTGTGAATAGGTTCTCTTAATGGCAAAAAGGATTTTGAAGGTGGAATTTAGGTTAAGGATATTGAGGTGTGGAGATCATCCTGTATTATCTGAATGGGCTCAGTTTAGTCATGAGTCATTCAAAGTGAAGAGGATGGCAGAAGAGTAGGTCAGAAGAATGCCCTGTGAGAAGGACCTGCTGCTGCTGGCTTTGCAGGTGGAGGAAGGGAGGGGGCCACGAGCCAAGAAACATGGCAGCCTCTACAAGCAGGGCATGACCCTCAACTTACTGTTAGCAAGAACCCTGCGGCCTTTGTCCTACACCTGAAAGGGACTGAATTTGTCCAACAACTGGAATGAGTAAAAGTATTCTCCCCCAGAGCCTTCAGGAAGAAACAGTCTGCCTACAACTGGATTTTAGTCCAGTGAGACCTGTGTCAAACTCCTGACATCCAAATCTGTAAAATACTACATGTGTGTTGCCTTAAGGCACTACATTTGTAATAATTTGCTATGACAACAGTAGAAAACGAACACAACTGAGAGAAAATTTGTAATATCCTATAGGCCAATAAAATGATAACCTTTGAGGTTATCTTTTCTACCAGATAAATATCTACATGGTGCATTTAACCTCATAAGAGTCTGATTTCGTAACTAATAGTAAACAACCAGGTCAAACCCAAGCATATTACTCTAGATAATTAAATAATCTTTGAGTGAACTTATTAATCCCCGGTTGACATTGAAAGAATATGCTACTCACTTTTTTGCCTTTTTTTTTTTTACAAGTTTAATGTTTGTTTTCTTAACAGGCAAGACAAGGAAATGTCATTAATTTTACAACCAATAAACTCCATGAGGGCATCACTTTATTTGTACCAATTAATGTCTTACCGCAATGCTTGATACAGAACAGGTGCTAAATAGATGTTTGTTGAATGGATACAGAAACCCCTGCAACCTCATCTCTAAATATTTCCTCCTATGAAATCTGTGATTCAGCCACACTGAATTCTTTCTATTCTCTTAATACAAACAATCCATGCTGTCTCTCACCATGAGGCTTTTGCATTTGCTTTTCCTTCTGCCTGGAACCTACACCCGCATTCAGCTTGGCTAACAGGCAGTCTGTATTAGGTCTCAGTTTAGAAATGACCTCCTCTGGGAGGTAGGTTGGTTGCCTAGTCTTCCCACACGTGATTCTATCTGCTCTTGTAGCTTCTGTACTTAACGCCACAGCACTTATAACACATTATATTTGCCTTGTGTGGACTGCCCTTGATGGTCTAATAAGGTAAACTTTGTAATAATTTAAGCAGCAACTCTAGAGTTAGACTGACCAGATTCAGATTCTGGCTCTGCAACTGACTAGCTGTGTTTTTTTAGGTAAGTTAATTGATCTTTTGTGATTTAATTTTCTCATCTGTAAAACAGGGATAATATTAATACATGCATTACATGCAGCCTTGGTGAGAATTAAATGTTAAGGGCTTAGGAATGTGCCTGGTATATGGCTAGCACGCAGGAAAAGCTTAATGTTTTGTAAGTTCCTTGTAATCAGAACCACCATCTTACTCACCACTATCCTCAGTTTCTGCTGTAGAATGCCTGACACAGAGTAAGTGCTCATTATCCTTTGGTGATTTGAGTAGAACTGTAACCCAATGAGGACCTTCCTTTTATTGGGTCAGAATTGAATATAAATAAAAGAGTAGTATCTTGAGAGTGAGACTGAGAGAGGCTGAACACTCAAGCCAGGAGAGACCTTCCCCCTGAAATGTCTGGAAGTCAGAGTATTGACCCTGGTGTTCCTTGCAGGAGGCTGTTGACTTGAGCCTTCTGAGACATAGACCTCATTACATCACGGGTGCAAGAAGCCTAGTCCCAAAAGGACCATGGGTTCTCAGCAATGGCACACCCTTCCATCCCTGCCTCCTAAACACACACACACACACTCTCCGACCCCCACTCCCCTCCCATAGGGTGAATTTCCAAGCTTGCTCAGGTCCAGGGTGTCCCTTGGAGGAGTGTAAAAGAGCTTGCTCTGCCTAAGAGAATGCAGTAGCCAGTCTTTTCCTTGTTTGATTATTGGTGTGTACTTGCTGAGCCTCACACTCTTTTTGATGCACAAACTGAGAACTGTCCTCCTTCAGCCCTGCTTACCAGTGGCGTCTGGAAGCAGGAGCCTGGCCAGGAACAGTGCAGAGCCATTCACACAGGCTACAGCCTGCAATGACTTCATCAGGCTCACACTCCTGCAGGCATTGGCGTTCAGCCTCCACGGAGTGAAAAGAGACCATAAATTATGAGAAAGGCACAGTCACTTTGCAGAAATTATCACGAGCCAGCATGGAATTTGTACATGGACGGAAACTGAGATTTAGTATGAATTTTTAAAGGTCTGGTCTTAATATATGCTGAAATGGCTATGTGGGCTGCATCTAAATGAGCTCTGAGGAAGCCTCACCGATGGTTGTCTGCACCCTCCTAGTGTCCATCTGTTATTGAGGATGGTATTATCATCATTACCTTTGCAATTCTCATTTTAAAGCTTTTATTTCCCCAAACACTAAAGAGCTTGAAAACAGTGAACAAACAGAAGTATTAAAAATGAAATAAAACAAAATGGTATCCCCCTGAATAATTATCATTATTATTTTGCCTTTGAAAAAAAAGTGAGCCAGGAGGTTACACAAAGAATCAAAGGTCACATAGCATAACAGGTGCAGAGACCAGGCTCCTGAGCTCCAGGTTCCTAGAAATATTACCTTGTCTAATTCTCAGTCTGTGAGTTGGGTGCTACTGTTACACCATTATATAGCTAAGGAGGCCCTCTCATGAATGAGATGAGACTGGATTCTGAGAGTAGACATTTAATGAAAAAAAATGGAGATAGAATTTTGCATACTTGGGTGACTTAGAGAATTTTAACTGTCAGTAAAGGCATTCAAAAGACTTAGCAGTTTTGGCAAGGGGTATTCCAAACACTATGCCCAGGCTGACATTCTCCCTCTCATCTCACGAAGATAGTGGTTTGTTGATGTTTGAAGGGTTGTTTTCCCAGCAGGCAGCTTGCCTGGGCCCGTGGCACTGCCACAGATCCTAAGACCGAGCTGCAAAGACACAGAGAAGTTCCCCCTTTGGCTCCAGACACCTCCTGGTTTGAATAAAAACATTATAGCAACACTACATTGTGATTTCAGAGAATAGGTTGGCATCATCCCTTTGAAAAATGTCATCTTGGGTTTGTCTTTGGCAAGAATAGGAAGCCATCCTCGAAGCTCTCCCAGGTAGCTGAGTCAAAGGGGAAACAGTGATGCTGCAAAAGGGTCAGGGCCACCCCTTGATAAATGAAGAGAAGCGTATGATTTGCCAGAGGACTTCTTTCCCGAGCTCTAACCTGTAGTCTGTCACTGTTCCCTCTCTACCCTCAGGAATGCCTTGCCGGCAGAGCCCTATCTGCTCCATCTTTGACATCTTGGCGCCTCCCTCCCCACCTTCACTCCTGGAGAAGACTCACCCTGGCTTCACCCTGACTTCTGTTTCCAAAGAATCTTGGAGCAGCTTTCTGGTGAGTGTTTGAGCTACTTCCTGCCTAACTGGTATTGGTTAATGTGTTCTACCTACCAGGTGATGTATTCCGGTTTTAACAGGGGCTTCTTGAGACAACACCGTTGTTTTTTTAAACCTTTAAAACTAAGTACATGTCTTCTTTGATTAAGAGAGAAATTATATAAAAGAAGAAATTCATTGAGGTTTCATATATCAGTTTTCCCCTCTGTGGATCAAATAATTGCAGTTCTTAAACAATTCCTTTTAAATAAGTCATTTTCTAATTTTTATTCTTTAATGTGATTGATTCTCTCCTCTCTTTTCCCCCAGAAGTCTATCTAACTAAGCTACTTCCCAAAGGACCCTAAAATATATATGATCTGATATATACTTCTGTTCTTAATTTTTATCTTTATCACATTTTTCTTGGTGTTTACCACTAATGTCTAACTTACTTAATTTTATAATCATGTAATCTCAATTGTTTTATTAAAATTTTAATGTTATTTATTTTTATTGCAGTATAATTGACATACAACATGTTAATTTCAGTTATACAACATTTGATATTTGAATATGTTATGAAATGATCACCACATATAGGTAACGTTCATCACCATATATAATTACAGAATTTTTTTCTTATCATGAAAACTTAAGATTTACTTTTAGCAACTTTCAAATATGTAATACAGTAGTATTAACTGAAGTTGCCATGATAAACCTTAGATCCCCATGACTTGTGTGTTTTATAACTGAAAGGCTGTACCTTTGACTCCCTTCATCCATTTGGCCCACCTACACCCCCCACCTCTGGCAACCACCAATCTGTTCTCTTTATCTATGAGGGTTTGGGGGTTTCTTTTGTTTTTTGTTTTTTTTAGATTCCACATATAAATGTGATCATTCAGTATTTTTCTTTCTCTGACTTATTTCACTTAGCATAATACCCTCAAGGTCCATTCTTGCACAATGGCAAAATTTCATTCATATTTATGGCTGAATAATGATCCACTGAAAAAAATATATATAGTCAGCCCTCTGTATCTGCAGGTTCCTCATCCTTGAATCCAATTAACCACAGATGGAAAATATTAAAAAATCCAAAGAGTTCCTAAAAACAAAACTCAAAATTTCTGCGTGCCAGCAACTATTTGCATAGTATTTATATTATATTAGGTATTATAAGAAATCTAGAGTTGATTTAAAGTATACAGAGTGCATACATTATATGCAAATACTACTGTTTTTCACCTAAGGGACTTGAACATCTAAGAGTTTTGGTATCTGGCAGGGGGTCCTGGAACCAATCCCTCATGGATACTGAGGGATGACTGTACAACATTTTCTTTATCCATTCTTTCCTCCATGGATACTTAGGTTGTTTCGTATCTTGGCTATTGTAAACAATATTGCAGTGAACATGGGGGTGCATACATCTTTCTGAGTTAGTATTTTCATTTTCACAGATAAGTACCAAGAAGTGGAATTGCTTGATCATATAGTGGTTCTATTTTTAATTTTTTAAGGAAACTCTATATTGTTTTCCATAGTAGCTGCACCAATTTACATGCCTACCAGCAGAGCACATCCTCTTCGTATCTATTGATAATAGCCATCTAACGGGTGTGACATGATATCTCATTGTCGTTTTGATTTGTGTTTCATTGATAATTAATGATGTTGAGCATCTTTTCATCTGGCCATCTATATATCTTCCTTGAAAAAAGTCTATTCAGCTTTTCTGCTCATTTCATAATTGGATTGTTTGGTTTTTTGATGTTGAGCTGTATGAGTTCTTTATATTATTTTCAGTATTAAGCCCCTCATCAGATACATGATTTGCAAACATACTTCCCCATTTGGTAGGTTGTCTTTTTTTTTTTCATTTTGTTCGCGGTTCCCTTTGTTCTACAGAAGCTTTGTAGTTTGATATAGTCTGACTTGTTTATTTTTGCTTTTATTGCCTTTGCTTTTGTGTCAAATTTAAAAAATCATCACCAAAACCAGGGTCAAGGAGCTTACTGCCTATGCTTTCTTCTAGGAATTTTATGGTTTCAGGTCTTCCATTCAAGCCTTTAATCCATTTTTAGTTAATTTTGGGCATAGTATAAGATAGTGGTCCAATTTCATTCTTCTGAATGTAACTGTCCAGTTTTCCCAACACCATTTACTAAAGAGACTGTCCTTTTCCCATTATATGTTCTTGGCTCCTTTGTTGTAAATTTTAATTGAGTGTATTTGCATGTGTTTATTTCTGGGCTGTATTGTTTGATACTGTTTTTATGACTGTAGATTTGTAATACACTTTGAGATCTGGGAGCATGATGCTTCCATTTTTGATCTCCCTCAAGATTGCTTTGGCTATTTGGGGTCTTTTGTGGTTCCATGCGAATTTTAGGGTTATTTGTTTTAGTTCTGTGAAAAATGCCGTTGGTATTTTGAAAGGTATTGTATGGAATCTGTGAATTGCTTTGGATGGTATGGACATTTTAACAATATTAATTTTTCTAGTCCATGAGCACAGAATATCTTTCCATTTATTTTTCTCTAATTTATTTCATCAGTGTTCTACAGTTTGCTTTATCAAGATATTTCACTTCCTTGGTTAAATTTATTCCTAGGTATTTTATTCTGTTTGATACAATTATAAATGGGAATTAAATTTTTTTCTCATAGTTAATTATTAATGTATAGAAATGCAACACATTTCTATATTGATTTTGTATCCTGAAAATTTCCTGAATTCATTTATTAGTTCTAATAGTTTTTTGGTGGCGTCTTTACAGTTTTCTATATTTAATATCATGTCACTGCAAATAGTAATAATTTTACTTCTTATTTTCTGTTGTGGATGCCTTTTATTTCTTCTTCTTACCTAACTGCACTGGATAGGACTTTCAGTCCTTTGTTGGATAAAAATGACGTGAATGGGCATCCTTATTTTGCTCCTGATCTTAGAGAAAAAGCTTTTAGCTTTTCACTGTTGAGTATGATGTCAGCTGTCATCTTGTCCTGTATGGCCTTCATTATGTTGAGGTGCTTTCCTGTGGTCTCGAGGATCATATGATTTTTATCCTTCATTTTGTTAATGTGTATTACGTGGATTGATTTTTGGATGTTGTAACTTTGTATCCCTAGAATAAATCCCACCATAGTGTATGATTCTGTTACTGCGTTATTGAATTTGTTTTGTTAATACTATGTTGAGGGTTTCTGCAGCTACCTTACATCAGGGATATTAGCCTGTAATTTTTCTTTCTTGTGGCATCCTTTTCTAGTTTTGGTATCAGGGTAATACTGGCCTCATAGACTGAGTTTGGAGGTGTTCCCTTCTCTTCTATTTTTTGAAAGAATTTGTGAAGGATTGATAGTCTTTTTTGAATATCTGGTCCTGGACATTTGTTTTTTGAGAGATTTTTAGTTACTGATTAAATCTCCCTACTGGTAATTGCTCTGTTCAGATTTTCTCTTTCTTCGTGATTCAGTCTTGGAAGGTTGTATATTTCTGGGAATTTATCCATTTCTTTTCGGTTATTCATAGAGATAATAGCTTAATCTAAAAGCATCATGGTAACCAAAGGGAAGATTGCCTAGGGGTTCCTGAACTAGCTTTAAATAGGTAACTGCTAACAATAACGTTCTCTGGCATTTGTTGAATTGTGATGCCCCATCCACTACCTCCAGTACTCGACTGAGTTCTCCCAATAGGGTCAGGAGGAGTCAATAGGTCTCAGATGGCAGTGTGTAGCAAAAGCCTGACTTGCCAGCAATGCCTGCTTCTGCCCAATAAGATAGGAAGGATTTCAAGGAGCCTTTTAGAAGCTCCATGTCTCCCAGCCTGTTATCACGGATTATCACTGGCAGGTATAGACAAAGCATATTCACATCCACACGTGAGTCTTGACTGCAGAGGAGGAGAAATGATTGAGATTGTAAGTAACTCTAGGAAATAAAGATGGAAAGTCAAACTATGAGCCATGAACTCTCAGGACCTTTGTGACACAGAGCAGCAGGAAATGAGGACTTTAAAATACAGTGTCTGTTTATGGTGAAAAGAATCTGCGAACTTAACAGACAATTAAAAATCTCAAAACCAAATGAGTGTTCTTCATAGCATCCTCTTTGGCAGACTTGATACTTAATCTAAAAATGCTTCTTTGCTCAAAATGTTTGGCCAACTCCAGCTTCAAAATTACTTCCCAAGCTCATGACACATTCTTTTGATATCTGCTTAATGATGCCTAGTCTTTGTCTTTGGAGGATGGATAAATTTTTTAAAACAGACAAAGGTCATTAAGAGTCTAACCTGATGGATAAGTTGAATTATACCATCCTCCTGATCCTCTGCAAAGTGATTAGGAGGTAATGAAGCTAAATTTCTTGTACAGTTTGTAAAGTGACCCTGAAGACTATTTTAAAAGAAGCTATTAGAGTTACTGAAAGGTGTGTTTGGAGCAACCAAAGCATCTTTGAAATAAGTATACAGTCTTTCAGAGTGATTACTTTGAAAAGGGTAGCACTCCCTAGGGTGCATAGATCTGGGCAAGAATCCTTAAAAAACTACAGTGTCCTTCGGTCAGAGCCACAGGCAAATCGAGCCAGTAGCAAAAACACATAGTATGTTGCCCTTTCTCCATTTCTGAAAACTTGAGTGAGAGAAACAAGCTCCTTAAGCTTCCAGAACCTTCCAGAAACCCCTCCTTTCTTTACCTCCTACCACATCCATGGGAGACAGCAAGAGACTGAGAAAAAGCATGAGATCATGTGAGCATGAGAGAGAAACAGTGAATTTTGTTAGTGGCACATGATGATTTCCTTTTCTTCCAAAGGAAACTATTTGTTCACTTGATAATTCACTAATTCATTATAGGAAGGCTGAGGGCTGAGTATGGGATCTCTTGTCTCTAAGCTCTTTACCCCCAGAGTGTAAGTTGTAGCAATGTGTTCACTTAAATTATAAATACAGAATATAATTTGTAAAACACACGCATACACACAGATCAAGTTTGTGGGAAA